AATCTAATGAGCCTCGACGGCATAAAAAAGGCTCGCTCAGACGAAATTAAAAATAAAACGACAAGAGACGAGGGCATAAAACCCGGGGAAATTGACAGTCCTCGTGGGTCATGAGCCACGACCGAATTCCCATTCTCATTCTCGTACTCCTTGCAGTGGACCCCAAAAAAAAAATACCAGAAATCCCCGCGACGAGGGTGTAAAATCAAGAATTAAAACGTCTTAATGGTCTGCATCTTTATAAACTCCCCACTGTCCTCGCCATCGAAGGGATGACCCCTGCCCCTGGGTTCTGAGTCCTGAGTTCTGGGTCCTGACCCATTATTCCTGGCTCTAGTTTGGTATTTCCCACTGCCATTCCGACTGCTCTGTGATTTCGCCTTCTCACCCAGCGCCTGGTTTAGTTAATTTTCATGTAAGTTAAGCAATCAAATGTTGGCTCTAATGTTGTTCAATTAACGCTTTTTTGTGTCTTTAAATTAATTTCAATTTGCTGGAATTTCTAGAATTCCTTGAATACATTTTAGGCTCAGGAAAATCTTGGAGATATTAGTAAAATTGTTAAAATGTTGAGGTTTTTTTGGTTAAAAAGTAATGCATTTTCTTAAGCCTTAATAAAAAAAAATGTAGTTAAGATAAGGATTACTAAGGATTTTTATGACCTTAGAGATGAAAAGTATATCTATAAACGGTACAATAGAAGAATATAATGCAGACTTATAAGCCCACACGTAAAAATAATGTATAAAATATATTTGTAACTTACTTTTGTTCCAAAAAATCTCATAAACATTTTTGAAAACATATATGTTATTTTCAAGAATCGACCTTGAATCGACTTCAGGCTAGCTTGCATTTTTCAAAAGTATCTTAAAGATTTTGTTATGTCCAAAAAGAAGTATAAAATATATCCTAATTCCAGGAATTAACCTTAAAGTCAAAGAATTTCCAGCAAGCTTATTTTTCGCAGAAATATTTTTAGTTTTATTATTAAGATTACTTTTATATCCAAAAACACTATAACATAAATACTATCTGGTCCTGAAAAAGCTTCCTACAAGCCTAGAAACCCTTAGTAATTTCACTTTTCTGTTTAAGTTTGATAATGCCTTCATTTGTATGGTAATTTGCTTGTTAATGAAGCAATTAACGCTCTTGGAACATTTATTTCAATTGCTATTTGAACTCTGACAATCAGATACACCTCCCTGAAAACGCGAGCTGCCCCCATACCATTTTTGGCTTCTGTTTAGCGCGGCTGCAATTAACATATTTGCGCTTGCGACTTCAACCAATACGGGTATTGTAATCCCGTCCAAAAGGCATAGTCAAGTCGTGGGCCCACTTATCTGTATCTGAACAATCATTTAGCCCGCTTGCTGTGTGTGTGTGTGAGCCCGAAAAAAAGAAGTTAAGAGAACCCCGGGCTGTAAGAGTGGGCGTGGCCGGCAGTGAGGCAGTGAGCCGAAGTAAGAAATTTGCAACTGCAGAAGCCAAGTGCAGTGGCTGCCACCGGGATCCCAGCTGCTCCACCCACTTTTGTGCCTAGGCATGGTACACCATGCCATACCATGCCATACCATACCATACTATATTGAACCACCCGATGGAGCAGGCTAACTAAAAATTTTCGGGTATCTAGCCGGGGGATCTGAGAGTGGGCATACTCTGTATACAGCCTCTCCAGACTTTTCAGCTCCAGCTGGGCCAAGTTTGCATGCCAGAAAAAATGAGGGAAAAATAAGGAGAAATATATATGGAAAGAGCAAACAAGTTGGCCCACTGGCTTTTGGGCTCACTTGATTTACAACAGTCGCCACTTGGCCAAAAGTGCTGAGTTATGGGCCCGCTTTTTCGTGTGTGTGGGCGTCAATTACCAGCTCATAAATTGCCATCGATTTGGCAACTATTTTCTACCTCCAGTCCCGACATCTAATTGTTTATTAATCAACTCATTAATTAGTTGCTGTTTGCACTGCCATTTGTTATTTTACTCTGCCGTTTTTTCTTCGTGTGGCCCGATAATTTTAATTAATTTGGCGCAAAATGTATTTTTCTATTGCATTTTTGATTAGTTTTTCTCTGATTTGAACATACATTGATTTGCACAAACAATCAACAAAATAATTAAATGCATTCAAGCATTTTTAATTGTTGTTTGCGCTAATTTCGATGCTTAGGCGTTGCGTTGATGATTATAATGTGGAGTGGGCGTGGTCCTTGGCCAATAGCCTGCATTATTCATGTGTTTTTGTCGTTGTTCGATGGCCGGGCCAATTGTCCCTCGGGCTGTTGGTTAGAGCCCGGCTAAGTGGCCGGCGGTTGGGGCCAAGTCAATATTAGAGGATCGAGGTAATGCGGACATATTTGACTTGGGGGAGTTGTTACCAGAAGTGGACTTGAAAGTAAGGGTTAAGAAAAGCAGCTTCTGAAAGGTGTATACTAAAATCGCTATTTACTTATAGTTATTAATTTTTAAAGAGTTTGCAAACTAGCTAAGTCTTTGATATTTATATAAATATATATTGTCAGGGGCCCAAAAGTGTTAATATTGGTGATTTTTAATTTTTGAGGTATATTGCAATTTTTGTTATTTTCTTTATCCAATTTATCTGGTTTTAATACCTTTTTTGAACATGAGCAAACAATGTTTTCTTTTTAGTTTAACTAATTTATATAGCCCTGCTGTAAAAAGTCTTGTAAGTAAAAATCCAAAAAAAATTTTTAAAAATAAACACCCATTTAAGGATTTTATTGGTTCCCTGGTTTATATTTACATAAATAAAATCTAAGTGTGTAAATCTTTTTAGCCAAATTCTAACTTCCTTCTTAAAATATTTTAAACTAAATTACGCTTTGTATTTTATAACTGTAAAAACGAGAATATTGATCACACAATTGTATAATATTTATATTTGTTAATTAGTTAGTTAACATACTCCATTCATTTTCATGGTGAAGTAATTTTCAAAACACTTTTAGGGACTTGATTTGATAGATTTCAGTAAATACTTTTGTATAAATAATTTCTTCAACCACTTTTTCATTTTTGCCATTTGCCACAAGCCATTTGACTTTACCCACTTAACAACTTTTTGTCAAGTCAAACATATTCATTGGAATTCTGAGCCGCAAAAAAAATGCCACCGACAGGCATTTGAGGTTTTTCATTTCAGGCCGGCGACAACGTGTGGTGACAACCCAATCAAGGCAGAAATGTATCTTTTTGGACGCCCCGCACCCACTTGACTCCATATACCAGATCTGCAACTGCATATTTTGTTTGACATCATTGTTGCACATGCCACGTGCTGCCGTTGCACCTGCAGCATTCGCAACATTGCGGAAAAACGCCCCAAAAAGGCGGCAACATGCAACAGCGAGGCCTTGCAAAAAATGCAGCCAGCTGCATGTGCGTGCATAAATTTACAGCTGCTGGTTGTTCGGTTGTTTGGTTGTTCAGTTGTTTGGTTGTTTCGTTGTTTGCCGTTTCTGTTTGCATCCAGCAATGAAGACATGACACCGACAGAGAACGAGGACACCTCCTGCAATTGCAATTCTCCACTGGCCTTCAGGGGCACTGGTCTTCCAGCAGTCAAAGAATAATAATATTTGAAGAACGAAAAAGGCATATATGAAGACTTAAAGCACCTTAAAATAAAAAAAAAATTATATATATATATTACTTTAAAAAATATACAGTTTTAATAAACAGAAAATGTCATTGAATTAAGCTAGAAATTCAGGAAGGTAAGCAACTAATGTTGTAGCCATAACAAATAATAATAATAAAATAAATAAATATATAAAAGTTAAAAATGAAGCTATTCTAAGGTATCTTAAAAATACTATATTCTTTTATGAATGTAGAACTAAAAGGTTTGATTTTTAATTTGACTTTTATTAAGATTATTTTAATATCCTTTACATACTTTAAACGGAACGTACTTTGTATTAAAAATTTTTTAGTTAAAACGTGTAACTCATTATCAAATTTAAAATATTATTGGAAATAAGTGTATTATTGTATTCTGAATTATGGTTACTCACCTGTTTTAATTTAAAATGATTTCTTTTATTTTATCGATATTCCGTTTTAGTAATTTTATTAACCCCTAATTATCTTTAATGCCCTACCGACTTGGTCATAAATCCAAATAAATAACTCAGGACAAATGTGGTTATTGTTACCCGAGTTGTTCGATGCTTTTCCATTGTTTGATGGACAATTCAGTGGTAACAATTATGCGGGGCATTTGGGCAAACCAAAAAGCTGAAAAGGACCAACTAATGCAAACAATAGTCGAATGTTTGCCAGCCATTTCATAGTTCACATATGACAGACAGCCCGAAAGGAGCAAACACGGGGGGAAATAAGGTTCATGGGGGGAGGGCAAACAGCCGGCAAAAAGGATATCGCGTGCCAACAAAAAATCACCATGTAAACACACATCGCACACAAAAGGCGCGATATTGGAGAAGAAAGCTTTCAGGACCCTCCAGGACCACCCATATATCTCCCCCCCATCTAAAACACCCAGCCATTCCGAAAGTTACATGTGTACAATGGTCGCCTTTGGGTTCCAGGATCCTGTTGTTCCTGCTCTGTTTTGTTTTATTGTGATTTTTATGCCAGTCGTTTTGTTTTGGCATTTTTGGCAAATATTAGTTCCATACTCCTGCCACCCTGACTATGGCAAATGGAATGCTATTGTGTGTCCTTTGGCTTTCTGCAGGGCTAATAGCTGTGATTGCAGGGAGATATTCACCGGAGTTTGGGGGGTTATTTGATAGTTACACTGGAGTTATCAAGAAATAGAAGGGATGTGGGAACCGTCTTTAAGTTGAATTTATTTCAAAGTTACTTTCAAACAACATATATTTTACTTTATATTTATAATTTGTTGCTTAGTCAATTAAATGTCAGTTAGTTTTCAGGTATCTATATTTTATTTGTATTACTAAGTGCATTTTGCTAAAAATATATTTTTAAAAATATTATAAGCTTACGTATTTGTAGATTAAAGTGCTGTTTGAAAAATTGTAAAAAGGCAACATTGAGTTTAATTTATTTGAGATACAATCAGTAATTATTTCCACTTAAAATTTTAAAGAAAATTAAACATACTCTTCTTTTCGCTTACTCTAATTGCAGTTTATTTTAATCTCATTATAGTGATAGACATAAACAATTCATAAGTCCATAAACTAGTTAGTACCGATGCGTAAAATCGCAGTGAAGCGTTTTGGGCGCTTAGGGCTTTTCCTCCTTCTCGGGATCTGCAAAATGCAAGATTATTAATTTAGATACGTTTTTGGTGAGCTTGTTGAGACAATTATACGTAAGTTTAAAGCGGCTGCAGTTCATGCTGGCCAGACATAATAATTACAAGACATTTATATTAAGTTTAATTGCATACGTGTAGCAAGTACGAGCTGCCATCCAGTGTGTATGGAATATGTAAAGCATTTTATGATTTATGCAACCCCACGAGCTCCTCAAACCCAGAAACAAAATCAACAAATCATTTTTCTGGCCAGCGCTGACAGCTGCAATTTTTCACTGCAACTGGAAGTCATGCAACATTTAACGGGCCCAAAGTAGAGACCAACTTTAAAGTAATCCCCAACCGCCATAAAATGCCCGATTGAAAGCCACCCCTTATACGTATACAGACTCCCCTGAGTTCCCAAAACCGAATCAATTAAATTCAATTAAATTCGAAAAACCACAAGCCAAGTGCAAGGGTTCCAGAGGAAGGGCAAGTGCAAATGCAACTGCAGGATACAGGATACCGGAATTCTAGGACACAAAGGATACCCCAATTGTTCCCCAAGCTTAGCTGTCAATCTTATTCTAATCAGGCTCCCAACACAAATTGCCTACGACTCCAGTTTCGCTTCACAAATTGACTTTTACGCCTAAACAATTGAAATTCAGTTGAGATTTCCGACTGGGACTTAACCCTTGCCACCCCCAAACTTAACCCCCCCTTTGTGGTGCAAAATCAACAAGTTAACTGCACTGCACCGCCTGTCATTCAAATGGAGATTGCGAATTGACCCCCCAGGGCTCTATATGGCATTCTGTGTTTGGTTTCTCACTGTCTAATTGACTTGTGAATGGAGTTTGCAATTTCATTGGCCTCAGGTGTGAGGTCCTTCGAAATCCTAGGGAAAATTCCAGGCACTGAAATTTAAATGGGATTTTTCTTAAAGCCAATTACAGTTGAGGTAAATATTCACAATGCAGCCTAGAAACACGATTATTTATTTAGGGCAGCTTAAGGAATTTCAAAGAACAATGAGAAATTTCACTTTTACCTTTGGTTTATTTTATTTACAATTTTTAAAAATATTTTTGCTTGATTTTATGTCCGATTTATATGCTAGAAATATAATAAAAACACCCAAAAGAGAGCATTTTTACCTTTATTTAATTTTATTTATTATTTGATTTCAATTTTTCGTTTTTATATTTTTTCAAGAGTTTATAATCCAAATATATAGCAAAAAGAGAGCATGCAAATATTTATAAATTCTTAAAATCATTTTTAATATCTCTCACAACTGGTTAACCCTACTGCTGTGTTAACCTTTTCCAACCCAAACATTTTTCGCATTCTCTTGACTCACAATTTTTGCATAATATTTTCTTTGGCCCCCCGGCGCGTTCGTCATCATTCCCTTAATTAATTAAAAAAGTTGTTGCACCTTTTTCGGGGCACTCTTTTATTTTTTTTCGACCCAAAAAATGTGCACAATTTTTATTTCGCACATGCGAAATTAGCGCTGCTGGGGCACATGCCTTGTTAAAATATTTGCAAATATTTAAATTGACATTTTTCCGTCATGTTATGACTATGAACAATGTCAATTTAGCTGGATGCCTTGAAGGCCGAAAGGTCTTTTTTTCCATCTCCCTGTTTTGTGAGCTTAAAAGTCTTAAAGCTGCATTTGCAAAATGCCGGCACACACATCGGGCAACTAATCAAAACAAATTCAATTAAACGACACACGACAAGCCACGGTTGGTATGGGATCGTCCAAGAGTTGGGTTTCCCCCACTACCATGGATATGACCGGAGTATCCCCCAACTCCTTTCGCTTATCGGGCAGCACAATCCATTAAAATTGCACATCGTTTACACCAAAAATCAATTCGCCAAAGCATTTAGGCATTACAAATGCCAAGCCAGCCACTGGAGCTAGTCGGCGCGGGTCTGGAGTCCAGGTTTTTCGGGATCCCGGGATCCCGCTTCAAACTGAACGTTGATGCCCATAAATTTCGCATAAGGCCCTCACTCTCTGCTCGCTCTGTTTGTTTTCTGGCCCCACTCTTGGAGCTCCGAGAAGGAGTCTGAGTTTGAGTCCCAGTTTGCGGGGCTACCAGGCGATAAACGCAGGCCAGTTGGCATTGCTTTGAAATGTATCCGCCAGATACGAGTGCTACAAAAGCTGCATTTGTGGAGAGCCAGTCGCAGTCTGGGTCCAAGTTGTTGTCGCTGGTCAGTTGTGGACAGGGGAGTAGGTACATTTTCATTTCAATGGGGTTCGAAGTCAAATACCTCATTACCTCATACCTCATATATGCCTTAAATCCACCGTACTTATAAGTTTTTCTTTCTAGTTTAAGTTAAAAAGAATTTCCAGCTATACCCCCTTAACTACGCCCCTGCTTGTGAGCTATGTTTTCAGGTCGTGTGGCTCTTCTAGAGTGGAGTGCTCAAAAGATTGGATTAGTGGGTTGGCATGGTGGATATTCAAGGGCCTTTTTGGGGATACCACTGAATTAGCCAGGTTTAAAGGTCAATTAAGTGTTTAAGGACTAATTTCCATTACATTTTTCACTTTCACTTTAACGTGCTAAGAATTAATTTGCGATTTTTGTTCTTTTAATAAAGGGAGTGCGAAAATCAAACATCGAAAAAAATAACATAAATATAAAGTAAATATATTTGTTACCACTTTTCTAAGATATTACCAAGATCCTTATTATTTTTCATCGCTTAAATCGGCACAATTTCACCTCCAGAGAACCCCATCTCTAGAACATCAATCGTTCTGCTATTCTGGACCCTCGGCATATGTCAGTGTCACCTCATGCCCGACAAATTATGTCTATCGGAAACACAGAAAGCCAAAAAAAAGGAGCCCATAAAGAAACCCAAATCCAATGTCGTGTATCGACGGCAGCACAAATGCATGTGGATCGGCGATGTCGAGTGGTGTTCGGAGTTCGGTGGCGTCCAAAGTGGTCAGTGGTTCAGTTCAGTTCACCTCACTTCGAATCCAGTGGTGTCAGTTTGTCGTGCGTTTTATTAGTGGCAACTCAAACAGCGAATTGAGATTAGAAGCCCGCCGACGACTGACTGAGTAAGTGAGCCCATGAGTTATGGCCTGCATTAAAGCGCATCAAAGTGAGCTCAGAAAAATTGTAAAAAAAAGTAGGAGAAGCCGATCTTAAAGTGCCACCCATTAGGTTTTAAAATGGGTGTCAACTGCTGGAAGGTTAGGGCTAGGAGTTAACCAGGGGTTAACTTTATAATGATGAGTAAAACTTAAGGTCCTTTAAAATATCTTGTTAGTTTTAGCAGCACGAACCATAGTAAATTACAAAATATTATTAATTCTAAGCTGTTAGCTGCTGAAAGGTTCAGGCTTGCAATTAACCTAAGGTTAACTTTGTAACAAGAAGATATACTTAAAGTCCTATGAATTATTTTGTTAATTGTAACAGCGCGAAGAATAGTATATTTTACAATATTTTGAATTCTAAAGTCGGTGTTATCTGCTGAAAGGTTGAGGCCACGAGTTAACCTAAACTTAACCTCAGGTCAACATAAAATCTTATTTGAGAGCAAATAATATAATACGAAAACTTCTGAACGATACATAGGTGATATGGAGGTAAATAATAAATTAAACATGTAGTTATATTCGGATTCCTTCCTTTTATATGAATAAGTAACCGTTCAATTGGATTATTCTAAGCACCCATTTAGAACGCTTAGAGGTCCTTATGCCACCCCAAAGGACTCGTTTTCCATTTATAGAAATTTACATTTGATTGCTGTTCAATCTACTTTCATCGCTGGCAACCCACAGAGTTCAACATGTGATATCCTTGACATTTATGAGTTGTCGGCTCTGTGGGACCCTCTCCTCACCATATAAATCTACATTTTAGATCAACAATAAGGAATGTCAGATATGATTTCCATAACACTGAAACATTTGCTCATGACTTTCTTACTACCCTGTTGCTTCTGTCAGTCACTGGGTTTTTTACTTTTTTCATCCTAAATGATAGCAATCTGAAATGTTTTTCGCTTTCCCCTCGCAACCCGCATAATTCACTTGATTTTCCTCATCTGACTTTCACTTACAATCCATTCCAGCCCTCCGAAAAAAATAAAGGAAGAGAACATTAGGCCTTATTACATTTGACATGTTGCTCCCTGGCATAAAAGTTTTCTTTCATTTTCGTGGCAACCCACCCCTCGGCTACAAATCAAAAGATAAATTGTTTTCCTTCATGATTTATATATAAAAATGTTTTGTTGACTTCGCACCAAACTCCAGTTTTCCTTTCTTATCATCGGCGGCATTGAAAGGAAGCTACAAATATTAATATTGTTTGTATTTCATGCGCTTTCTGCTTTTTATTTCGTTTTCAATTTGGCAATGTCTAACTGGCAAGGGGAGTCGCATGTCAAATTTAATATAAATTATTGGCGAAAAATCGCAGGGAATGGGGATATACAAGTTGTATCTTTCGGATTACTCACATTCCTTGGCCTTTTTCCAGGAGTGGGTGGGCATGGCCTTCAGCTGGTTCTCGTAGGCCTTCTTGGCCAGCACATCCTTGGCCTTCGGATTCGGTTTGTTGCAGTTTTCCGAGTCGGCAAAGTGGTCCAGATACTCATCTCGTTTGCAGTAGATGCACACCCCGTAGATATACTCCTCCTCGCAGATTGTGGCATTCGTGGATCGAGCCCAGTCGGCATTGTTTTTCGCCGCCTTGAAGAGTTTACCAACGTAGATATGGGCAGTTGGTATGGGGGTAAAGGCATTCAGAGCGATGGTTGTTATCGGATTGTGCTCCAAATTCAGCACCTGTAGGTTCCTTAGCTTGTCAAAGAGACCGCTGGAAAAGGGAATTATTAAGTATTTTATTTTCTAAGATTCTTAAAGAAATTTATCTCCAACTAGGGTTAGGGTTCGCATAACCTCTAAGGTGTGTACTATCGACAGTTTTATTTATCGATAGTGGCCACCACCGATTAAATCGTTACCATCGAAAATTACTTAATATTTAAAAAAATACACCTTTTTATACTCTTTTATTCTTTTCCAAATTCCATAAACAATTTACTTATAGAGCGATACTTTTGGTGGTCTTGTCGAACGATCTATGTTTGCCAAACCTTACAACCATCGATAGTATCGATAGTTTAATATCGATAGTATCAACTTATAGAAGTAGTAGTTTTTATCTATGTATCAACTCACCTCTGAATGCGATCCAAATTGTTGAATGCCAGGTGTATTTCCAAAAGTAGAGGAGTATTCCGGAAGAGCTGATCAGGCAGTCTGGCAATATTGTTCCTCTCCAATCTCAAAGTGAGCAGTTTCTTCTGTACCTTGAAGAAGTCCTTGCTGAGATAGCTGATATTACTTCTTATTCCAATGTAGGCCAACTGTTCCGACATCCAGAACAACTCGGTGGGCACATTATCGCCGCAGTTGAAGATCTCAACCGACTGAAGATCGGTCATGTGCCAAAGTTCCTGGGGTCCAAAAGCTGACATCTCGACACTACTATTCTTGGCATCGCAATCGATCATCAGGTGCTTCAGTTTGGTCTGCTTGGCGAATATGTCACCAGATACCTTGCCCAAGTTCTTGACCACAATTTCCAGATGGGTTAAGTTCTTCAGATTATGCAGAATTGAACCGGGTAGATCACTACTTCCTTTTAAAGAGAGTTGTTTGAGAGCCGGCAGGTTTTCCAAAAAGTTCTCCGGCAATGTGGATTTGAAACCAATGATGGAGACCTTCTTGAGACCCTCGTGATCTGTGTAGTGTTGCTGCAGGACCTCACCTCGATCGGTTTTCTTGGGATCAAAGTAGTTGAAGATCTCCAGTTCGGTGTAGTTACTTACGCCCAGTTTACTGAGCAGGTACTTTATACTCTGGGCATTTGGTATGGCGCAGTTTTGAACGATCAGGGAGCCAATATTACCCACTTGTAGAGGTGGTATATAACCATATCCTCTAGCATCGAAGATACTGCAGCTGATGCCGTATAAGTTCAGATTATCACTGTGCAACTGGAGATTTTCACACTTGATCTCCTGATCCTGGCAATCGCAGAGATTTGGCTCCTTGACCCGGGCCTCACATCCCGCTTTGGTCACATAACTACTGGTGATCACTGTGGCATTTTCCTGCCACGAGGGCGAAATTAAGGCCAGCAAAAGCAGTAGCAGCCACATCCTGAGGCTAAAATCCCGAGCAGACTGATCGCTGTAAGGCAAAAGCAGAGGATTTTAAAATTAGTTTTTACGATCCAGCAACAGCTGCTCCCGAGGCTGCAAACTCTACTTTACCACCATATATATCTTTCTCTTTCGGTCTGGATTTCCTACAGGTAGCACGCATTTCCCTGGAAGTAATGCTGCTGCTGTTGCTGCTTCGATTTTCCTTCTAGCCAAAGACACCGCCCCCCATTTTACACCCAAAGGCCGGGCTGCCATTTTTACACACAAATTTGATTACCCAGGTAAACCCCTTGCAGACTCTCGCGCTCTTTTCGCTTTACCTGTTCGGTTAATGGCCCATAATTTACTACGCAACTCGCCCGATTTGTGCATAATATTAAACCATTTTGAATTCGCCTTGCAACAAAACTCAAAAAAAAATATCGTACGCAGTAAAAAAACTGCAAACAAAATGACTTAAATTGCCATTTGCGTTGCCCACGGTGGAGTTGTTTTTTCATTTTTGAGGAGTTGGGGGTTTTTGGGGAGTGCGAGATGATCTGTATGTAAAAGCAGCCGCGAGTGGGTCCCAAAGAGTCGGTCTGATAACAGTTGAAACTGCCCGATTTTACATACGAATCGCAGGCCAAAGATGAAGAAGCGAATGGAAGCGATCTGGGAAAGGCCGCAAAAAATGGCACAGTGGGCTGGACACTATGGAAAAGGGTTAAATATATACTAAATTACATGTTATCGGGGTTCTGTATAGCCAAGAAAAATACTTCAATGTCAAAGAAATCTTTTCGATGAAGGAACAATTGTAATTGGTGGAGAGAATATAATATAAAATCATACCTGAAAATTTGTAAACGTGGTTCATTTAAATAAACACATTTTTAAAATGATTCAAATATTACGAATTATGTTAAAGAATTTGCAATAGATATTTGACTATTTTTAGAAAAATGTTTTTAATTTTCTAACTTATTTTTGGGTACTCTCAAAATGATATTATACGTAAATATAGCTTTATTTGATAGCTAAATTCGAGGTTAGGGTTGGCTTTTTAATTTTAATAGCACTAAAGTTTTAAGAGTTTCTCACATTTTAACTCACGGGAAGGGAACCTGAACGTGTAGTTATATTTGTGTAGTGTTTTTATTTTCTTTAATAAAAGACTTTTAAAAGTTAGGAATATACGGTATTGTTTGTTACAAATTCCAACCCACTATGCCTCCAACCCAAGTTTATTCCTATCGAGCTCTTTCCACCTCATCCTCCACGTTATCCCCAACCACTTTGAACATCCTGAAGTGCAATTTCAGTCTGGCGTGCTGTTGATCTTATATCTTGTGCTCAAAACTGGGACTTGGACTGGATGCTTCTGCTCGATTCCGAACAAATTACAATTCATTCTGGTTTTCAGTTTCATTACAAATGCAAAAATGCAAAATGGCAAGCCGGCCATTATCTCAGGATGGTATGGATGGTATGGTATGGTATGGTATGGTATGGTATAAGATGGGATGGGATGTCTGTCTGTCTGTTGATCGATGATCGCTGTGGCCGCCGATGATCAAGTTTTGTGTATCGTTTGAGGCGTACATGCGTAAGTGCCTTTGATCCCCGCACATCCCCTCTGGGATCGATCCACCTCCTTCTGGAGCAGTTGCATTCACAGATCGGGGCCAATGCATTTGAATTTGTCTGGCCGGCAGCCAAATCGATCGACAACCAATCAGCCCCAGTCCAGTTCGGTCAGCCATCATGCCAGTTTGCACAGTCTGCTCAGGTGCACTCAAAGAAATTGTTTATTTATTCAAATTTTAACATGAAATGCCAATTAGTGTGAAATGACAGAGAATTAACCCATATTATACTCATTTATTACACTCATTTCAAAAAAATTGTATTTTTAAAAGATTATTTTTGTAAAGGTATATTATTAATGAGATGTATCCACCTAAAAAGTGGGATAAATAATGTTTCTCTATACGCATAATCTATGTTTTATTAAAATATCAAATTTTAATTTAAATTATATATCATATAATGTGACATATCCATCTAAAAAGTGACATAGATAAGGACCCTTATTCCAATTGAATGGCTTGTAAAAAAGGTTTATTTCTCAACCTTTATATTTGCTAAGAATTTGTCCTGAATTTAATATCAGTGTTCTTTTGAAGCTGCTGCTTCTGCTGCTGGCAGTGGCAAACATTTCATTTTTCACGATCCACGAACAGTCTCTCGTATTCCCAAGAGCTAAATCAATAAATTACGTGACAGGCATGCAGAAAACCTGATGCCTCCAACTTTGCGTTGGCTTTAGCTTCAAGTCCACTTCTTGATCGCCGTTTGCGTTTTGCTTCGTTTTGATTGAATCAATCAAAAACTTGTGCATTTATATGAAAGATATTAAGAAGTTGGCCAGACCAGGAAAATGAAGAATGGATACCCTGAAGTAAATGAATAAATTGAAACTATATTTCAGGAACAGCTTGAAGCTTTAGGATTTAATTTTAAAAAAAATTTAATTACCCTATGTCCTGAACAAAATAACATAATAAAGGTATCTTTAGGATTTCTCATAGCATAGAACGACTTAAGTATATAGTTAAAAATTCATTTTTATTAAGTGGCAACTTTTTTTTGAAAGGATTATGTACGACCCCCTTTATAATCAGAGTACATTAAAAATGTCGGTGGGCATGGATCGTACATATATCGTTTGCAGATCTTCTGGCGCTGCCATACCATAAATTAGTATTATGACTTGCCCATTGGCTGGACCACAGATATTTTCTGTACTCCATTTACCCCTGCTATACCACTACACAAAATTCGCATTAAATTTGATTGGTTTTCATTTGTAGCGGGCAGGAAATCCTCAATAAAGTTCTTAACTCGGTTTAATTAACTTTGACAAATTGAACTCTGGCTCTGTGGAAAATGTTTTTCGCAAAAATAATCGAATTAAAAAGCCAAGGAAAAGTCATTCTTCTGGCTGCCAATGCGGCTCCTTCAATTAGTAATAAATAATTTGAGCTGGTTGAAAAGTTTTCCCTGAGCTAAGCGATGCATAATCCATGAAAGGGCGCCAGCAAAGTTCAGGAAGCCAAGGACTCGTCCCCAAAAAGTCTCAGAAAGTGGAAACCAAAGTGGTGCAGGTTATTCTACTCTTTCTGTTTAATACCTTACCATTGTGCGCCGAGATCTTCATTGATTTTGAATTTGATTTCTTGTACCGAGGAAAATCGCCTTAGGCCAAAACTTTCGTCCCACCACAGGAGTATTTACCATTTTGCAGGACGGACAAATAAATGGTCATAATCCTGGCCAGACAAAGGCTACTGTTCCAGTGCTCCAGCTCCACCTTAACCCATAACTCATGTCTGGGGCTATTTTTGGGGGGCTGTTCCCGAGTCTTTTATGCGTTTTACATTTGATTTATTCCACATGCAAATTGCGGTATACAGGAATTAAGTTGTTGGAAATGTTTTATTCCCAGAAACGTTTTGCGTCTCGCCGCGACTAAATAATAATTCGCCTCAAATTCAAATGCGCACGTTTCACAAAGAATACAGAGCTGGAAAAAAGAGCCATAACATCGCTCAAGGCGCCCCAAATCGTGAGTTTCTTATATACAGATGGGGGTAGATCTCACCCCCACCAAAAGGAAAACTCCCGTTTTTCCCGGGGCACAACCCGCTCTTACAAATAAATGCATGAAATTGAATACCACAAGGGGCAAGAAGAACTTTTTTGACTGGCAAACCATCATCTCTATTTGGTATTGTAGTTCTATTCTATAGCTTTCTATGGCTCTGTGTTCTGTTTATTTATGTGTTTGCGCCTATTTATTTATTTTAATTAAAAGGGGCACGTGTTGCTGTTTTCTTGTTTTCTTTTTGCCACGGCAACATTGCGCCCGGAGAAATTGGCAATGGAAAAAAGAAAGGCTGGGGGTTGTAAGGTGTGGTTCCTTTTCTGGGGAGTGGGTGGGAACGGGTTGCGGCAAGTGCAATCCCAAAATGTATCAATGACAACCCTGATATTTCATCAAAAATTAATAGGATTTTCGGAAAGAGCTTGTATTTGTTGACAGAAGTAAATGAAATACTAAATCAGCCTTACTAATAAAATTTGTTTTTAATATTATTGGGAAAAAATTATATTTTTTTTTAAATTTTTAAATTTCTTAATTGGAAACACTACGTAGGCTCATAGGTATAAATAAGAGTATTTTAATAGATCTATTCCCAAAAATATATATTTTTTAAGAAGGTAGGTAAGGCTAGAAAAACATATATTTTTAAGAAGGCTCTTTCCTAAATGTAACAAATATTTTCTAAAATAAAAAATCATTTAACATATATTTATAAAATTCTGCGAGCTTACATTTTGAGTAAAATCTTATAACCTGATTTAAGATTAAAAATATATTATATATATATATATATATATTATATATTTAAAGCTGTTACTTTTTGGTTATCCCAACTTTAGTTATCCAAACCATCAAATAATATTAACCTTAAAAATCAAAAGTGTTAAGGAAAGACAACAATGACGGCATTGTTTTCCATTTCACGGCTTTTCCAAAGGTCACTTTTCCACCCCGTAATTTAGATTGTCCATTCAATCGAATGGGTAACTGCCGACTGCCATCAAATTGCAGCAAATGAACATCAAACGAGTGTCAAAACAAACAGAGGTCCTTGGGCGTGGAAAATTGGACCTACTAAGCCGAGAAGAAATGGCCAGCAAATAGTAATAAAACAGGGGGAACAACAACAATCAGAGCAACTAATTAAATGCCACAACCCCCATGGAAAAACAACCAGACAAAGTCAAAGTTTCTCGACTCGTTTTCATTACGAGTTAATTTGAATGTAAATGAACAGAGGAGTGGAGCATTTTCAGGGTAGTGGGGGTAGCTAAAATGTTTTGGCTAATGTTTCAATTAAGAAGACAGTGAAAAATTTAATTTTCTTTCATTTGGCTTCGGCTTGCGTCTAAATGGAAATTGCCACCCAAGTTAGTGGCGATGAGCTTTCCGTTTGAAGGCGGGCAGTGAATTTCGTCTGGATTGTTGTTGTCCCGGGTGATGTTCACAAGGAATTTCAATGTTCCACTCATAATTTCATATAATTTCCATTAATTGTATGAAATTAATGCCGCTGGCTTTAAGGCCGAGTCATTTGCACAGGGAGAAAAATAGTTCCTTGAACTAGTTTAATGGCTTTATGCATAAAAAAGGAAAACATATTTTATACATTTAAAAACATAACTATTAAAGTGATTTTTAATAAAATATAAAGTAAGATATCTAGTGTTTTAAAATTTAAATGACTACAAAATGATGTGCGTTTAGCTTTAATATAAGTATTTTAAAATGTGTAATCAAATACTTTGTAGATATGTAAAAACAAATAAGATCATCATTATTTGATTTAAAAAATAATATAAGACTTTTGAAAGAATGTTCCAAAATTTAGAACGGAGTCTTGAGTCAAAAATAATTTAGATTTTTAAAAACAAAAATCTGATCGATATAATTTAATTAATTTTTGTAATTAACAAATTTTACAAAACCTAAAGCGGCATCCTTAATCAAAAATTATTTAGATATTTAACAAAACAGATCAGACTAACATCATTTGACTGAAAAATTGTAATAAAATTATTTATCAAATTTTAAACATTTCAAAAAAATCTACTTTAAAAAGATATTTTTTAAAATAATTTAAAATAAATATTTGTTTTGCTTGAATATTTTTTCCTGTGTGCATATTCATCTGCATCGTGCTCGTGGCTCCCGCTTGTTGGCCACTCCAGTAGCCATTTTCATGATTTTCTACGCACTTTGGCAATGGCTGGCTTGGAAACTGTCTATGCTAATTTCCCAGTTTTGATGACTAGTCGGCTACCAGAGAGCTACTGGCAACGGCTACCTTTCATTTGGCTGTAACCAACCGCATAACCACGATCACCAGCGATCCGATCCGATCCGATCCTCGAAACTCGGGTCCCGAGCCCCGCCTTTCGCTTTGCATAGATCACTCAAGGGCATCGCCATATAGCTTTTGTTCTGCTCGTGTTCGGGTATCAAGTATCGAGCATCCATCATCATCATCATCATCATCTTCACCGTCTGGGCCATGGCCAATTCGCAGTTGAAGACGAGGACTCGGTGCAACATGCCCGGTTACGCCCCATTTTGACTGGGCAATTGTCATGGACACGCCGGGCAAATCAGACTGATGTGAACATATTTCTTTCGAGTGGGTAGTTTAGAGGGTATGGCTTGGAGATAATAAATGGGTTAGCAGAGGAGGAAATATTCTGACTAAATCTGGTTAAAGAGTTTGGGATATTACCATTATTGTTACCATTACCATTATATTATTAAAAAGTAAACTGCTGAAAGAAGCTCAAAGGCTTTAATAAATTTTTATTAATATTAAAGAAAAATATTTTCTTTATTAGCAAACCTAAGTTTATCGAAGGCCATTGTAAAAAAGTTCCCGAAAGCTCCTAACATTTTCTGTCAAAACAAAAATATTTATAAAGTTTTTTCTTTTTGGGAGACATTTTGTTACCATCAAAACTGATGCTAACCATATTCTATAGAACTTTAAAATCAAATAAATTTTTAATATGTTCACACAGAGAAATATCCAAGAACATTGTTCTTGAACTGAGAACATTCGTTCTTAAAAACCGTGTAAGTACATTATAAATCGGTTTGAAATTGGTAATATTATTATAGTTTCCATTAAAATACTATTTTTTCTATTATCCCCGCCAATTTCGATCACGTCCCCATCCTTAATCCCTATTCTCTGGGGCATTGCCCATTTACCAGGCTGCAAGTGCAGGAGCGCAGGACCTCCTTTCAGACATTTCTTTTTCGCACACTCAGCACAAATTGCAATCAAAGACCTCCCCGACCAGTCAACCCTTTTGGGCCCTCTTCAGCCACCGACTTTTTAGCACTTCAAATTGGCAAACAAACAAACTCACGTTCAAATGAAAAGTGAGCATAAACAGAAAATTTTTCACACAGCGCGTTCATTGCTTTCCCCGCACTTTCCCCCACTTTTTAAGCCAACTCGTGTGCAATGGTAAACAAACTTGAAAAGCAAACCGAAAAGCATAAGCGGAAATATTGCGCATACGTCGTGTTGCACGTGCTGAATGTGGAAGAAGAAGAAGAACCACAAGAAGAAGAAGAAGAGCCCGCTGAATAAGAGCAATGAGCAGAGAAATGTGAATCACACAGGATGAGGGACGTAAGGAAGCAGGCGGCTTCACTTGACACGCAAATATGCATAAACAAGGCATGAATATTCATGCACACAGCAGACACCTCTCCCCGTCTCCCTCTGCACATAGCCCCATCTCGCTTGCTCCCCCTGCGAGCATCTTGAAAAGGACTCGCGTCCTCGTGTCCTGGTGCCCATATCTCGTTTAGAGATGAAATGCAATGCGCATTGAAAAATTTGCCCGCAAAAAATGTTTGCTCAAGGCGAGGTGAGTGAACCAAAAAGCCGAGATGACTGCAAGTACAGTGGGGATCACAAAAGAAGTCTACAAATTATAAGATTGAGAAAATTCAGCTTCTATGAAAGTTCCTCACATATTTCATTATATTAAGTTATACTTCTAACGATACACCTACAAATCAAATGTAATAAAAACGTTACCATATAATATTAACATGTACCTTAAATAAATAGTATGGTCACACTTATGATCTATAAGCTCTGGTTACACTTTTTACCTACGATATTTGTATTATAGCCATTGAAGACGTATACTAAAATGAAAGTTTCTCACATTTTTCATTATATTAAGATATATTTCCTACGATGTACCTAGAAATAAAATGTAATAAAACGTTACCATATGTACCTTAATTAAACAGTATGGTCACACTTATGTTTTATAAGCTCTAGTTGGTCACACTTATGTTTTATAAGCTCTGCTTACACCTTTTACGATCTTTTTATTATTGCCATTAAACCGTATACTAATAAGGATAGCGATTTTAGATCTTAAAGAAAAGATTTAGTCCTTTAATACACCAAACTCTTTAGAATGATATGTTATAAGCCCCAATCTCAGTTATTGAGTGACCACTGTCTGCCCACATAATATGCAATTTTCACAGCATTTGACTGAATGAATGAATGTTTGTTTGTGTTTGTCTTGCCATTCACACGTGAAGACAAAATGCAAGCAGGTCATTCACTTGGGTCTGCAATTCTTACACCCTTTGACCCCATCCACCCCTTCAAAAATTCACCCAAGAAGGACTCTACTTTAGAGAATTTTGAACTGCTTAGGCAACAATCATAAATCCCTGTCAATCACACGCGGCTGTCATCATCATCAGAGCCGAGCAGTCATCAGCCCTCCAGATAGGCCGTGTAGTTGCGACTTATCCTGCGACTTTTGTGACTTGTGACTTGCCTAAGCGGAACTGATTACGTCGCCTTCTGCTGCGACGTCATCGATTTAGCTGCGTGACAAAAACGCCTCTTTATTCTTTTTTCGACTGTTTCGATGTCATTTATATGATGCTACGAATTTGACAGCTGCGCTGTGGATCGATTCTGGGTTGGGGGAGTTATGCAACACTTGAACTGTTAATTTCTTTGGAAGCTTCCTATTGACAACCATCAATCATTTTCCCATGTATAAATTGGGGGGAAGGTCGCCAGTCCTCATCCTGCGAATTGTCAAATGGTTGGCTAAGGTAAATAAAAGTTAAGCTGAAAATATGACTATGTTTTTGAGATAGAAGGGAAAAGATAGATATATTATTTCCAGCCCTTTGAATGTTAACATTTATAAAAAGTTAAATGCAATTTACTAAAACAATTATTTCCGCTTACAACTATTTAACCTTTCTAAGTATTTAACTAATGTGTCAAATTAATTATTGGCAACAGTTGGAATAAAATATAAATAGTTTCCAGTAAATGCAAAATTTTCCAGCACTAATGCTGACATATTAAAGCCTTTGCATTCCAGAAAATTATTTCATTGTCAAGGAAACTTTGAAATCAGAACGACAACATGAATGTCTCAACCATCTTATTACTTTGCCTTGGTGAGTTTTTAAACACTTAAATAGGAGATTTATTTGTTTAATTATTGTTTTAGCCGTATATGCTCAGCCAAGAAGCTTTTATCCATTATCCAGGATGTTCAAAAATAGTATAATAAATTGAATATGCCTAGTGTTTTATATTTGTAAAATGGGATGCTGGTATAAAATAAAAGTCATGATCAAGACATAAAATCGACTTTCTTGTATTTTTTCAAACCCTTTAAAAGATTTTGTTTATAAATTTCAGTGTACAACTATTCAACCTTTTTAGGTGGTTAGTTAATGTGACAAATTAATTAATAATAGACCTTGAAGAACTAATGCTGACTTATAAAAGCCTTTCCATTTTATCAAAATTCTCTAATTGTCTAGGAAACTTAGATATCTGAAAGACAACATGAATGTCTTAACCATTTTATTAATTTGCCTTGGTAAGTTTTTGAATACTTATAAAGTATATCTATTTATTTATTTTTTACTTATTTTATTTTTTTAGCCCTATATAAGCCGCCAAGAGGAGTTTGGCACTTCCCCGATAATTAAAAGTAATAAATTGAATATGTCTAGAGTTTTATATATTAAAGGACTTATTTCAGTGTACAACTGACCTTTTAGTTATTTTATTAACATGGTAAATTATTTATTGCAGTTGGAATAATTACAAATAGGTTCCAGTAAATGCTAAATGTTTCAGTACTAGAGCTGACTTATAAAGGCCATACATCCCAATAAAATTGTTTAATTGCCAAGGAAACGACAACATGAATGTCTCAACCATCATATTAATTTGCCTTGGTGAGTTTTTAAACACTTAAATAGGAGATTTATTTAGCAATTATTTTTTTAGCCGCATATGTTCCGTCAAAAGGCATTTATCCATTATCCAGGGTATTAAAAAATAATGTAATACATTGAAAATGCCTATTTTTTTATAATTGTAAAATGGGATACTGGAGTCAAATAAAAGTAAAGCTGAAGATATATTCAACCTTTTTAGGTGGTTAATTAATGTGACACATTAATTATTGCCAGCATTTGGAATAATAATAATAAAAGAACTTTAAAGCACTAGTGTTGACTTATAAAAGCCTTTCCGTTTCAGCAAAATTCTTTAATTGTCAAGGAAACTTAGATATCTGAACGATAACATGAATTTCTTAACCATCTTACTCATTGTTATCGGTAAGTTTTTGAATACTTATTGAGTAGATATATATTTAATTGAACTTTTTTATAGCCCTATATGACCCGCCAAAAGGTACGTGGCAGAAAGTAGTTTCGGCTAATAATGTTCTTGGCTCTTCTGTAAAATAGGACTCAGTAAGGCTTAATATTAAGTTTGATATTGAATAAAGGCTTCAATGATTACATTTTGAGGATACAGAATAATCGAGTAAGGGCAGCAAAAAATCCTAATGCCAGACAATTCCGGTACCCCAGCGTCTGGCCAAAAACATAATTAAATGTATTTTCGTTCAAAGTAGACCAGAAAGTCTCAGAAAAATTTGCATACGAAATAAAAGCAGAACTGTCGAAAAAATCAGTAAAAAGCGGAAAGCGGCAAAAACTCGGCCAAATCACCGACTAAAACTAATCCCCCAAATCTGCGACGATTGCCAGGGCAAATCAAAGTCCTGAAACTGAGACCATAAAAAGCCAAAGAGCCTGGGGCAACAATTTAAGATTTACGCCACTTAGAAGACATTTAAGCGTGCAACAAATGCAACAACAACCGACAACCAGGTCCACATGCAAAAGGCCAAAGTCAAAAGCCGCCAAGAAGTTGTTGTAGTTTGCTGTTTTGGTTGTTGTTGCCCTGCGTGCTGAGCTTCCTTTTGGCTTGAAGCTTCTTTCCCAGCGATTCTTCTACGGCCTTATAGGCCCTGCCAAAAATCAAAAAGGTTTCTCCTACCTCGACCAGTCGACAGTTTACAAGGTTTTCTCGTGTTTCGACAACATTAATTTGTTGTCTCAACATCTTGGGCATTTTAAGCGGGGTCAAAACTAAAACTTAGTCATTTATGTTGCCAGCAACAAGTTGCCAGCCGCAGAAACCGCAAAAAAACGAGAGAACAGTAGCTCAAATGGCAAACAATAAGAAAAATTATTTAATTTGAGTATTTTTGGGTCTTACTTCATTTTATTTTTCAACTGCAAACTGCTGCCCAGCAAAGTGGCAAACTGAAACCGAAGAAACCGCAGAATTTTACGAGCTCCTCGTCGCCCTTAACAATGTCTCATTGTCAGGTCTAAATCATTTTTAACGATCAATAAATGAACACGGTGGAAACCAACTATCGTGAAGGTGGCAGCGTGATTGGATAGAAAACACCACTATATGATCTTAAAATTGGAGATATTCTACGTTTTAAAAAAGAGTTCCATAATTTTATAAATATTTTAAGTGTATGATTATTTTATAAGATGATATGTTTTAAGTAAACAAGGGTACTACTACTATACTATAATTCTTTCGATTATATTCCACCTCTTAAGATCGTAGTCTCAGATTCTTCATAAGATGATATATTTTCAGTAAATAGGGATTCTGAAAACTAAGATTTTATCGATTATAATCCACCTGGCAAGATCGTATTCTTAGATTGTTTATATTATGATATAATTTTAGTAGATAAGGGTTTAGAAAACTGCAATTCTTCCGATTGTATTTATATACTCAGGTTTTTTCATAAGATAAGTATTTATAACTCTTGTTCTAAAGTTTTTATTCCTATGTTGTTATTCTATTAATCAGGATTTTTTCGGTATGTGGTTTTTATAATATGATATATTTTTAGTAGATAGGGGTTTCTGAATACCAAAATTCTTCCGATTATTTACCACCTGTCAAGATCGTGTTCCCATCCCTGACGATTATCTCGTATTTCAGTATTTCTTTGGAACTCATCCCTCAACAGGCTTTGTGTGCGGTCTCTTTGCGACTTAACTTGGAAGTCGAGAAAGGTGTAAAGCTAATTGAAAGCCCCGCTGGAGGCGGTCGACTTCAAAGACCCCAACAAAGGTGACTTTGTTGCGGAAGCAAACTCACTCTAACCCGAGAACTATTGTATCCCCAAGAGATCTCTCGCCCCAGACACATATATCGCATTATTTTATTGACTACTGAGAGTGGGTGGGAATTCGGGTGGCAGATAGGCCATAGACTTGATAAGCTCTGGATTGCACACATGTTTCGTTATTTAGCCAAAGGTAAACACATCCACCAGTTGACAAATCTAGCTACAACACTGCAAACATCGCTTTATCAGTCTATAACTTTTGTCTCTATTTACCAAATGCTTCAAACTGACAGCTGTACTCTGGCGGCCACTGAAAATCGAAAACTCCTGCGATTAAATTGCAATTTCCCCAACAGATGTTCGCGTTTCGGCTCATTTCTTTTTCATTTTCTTTTTTCTAATTGTAAGCGGATATTTATTTTCCATCATTTCCGCTCATTTTAATTTTCTTCCCTTTCCCTAAACGGAAAGCAAACTTATTTGCTAATAAAAATTCAAAAGATAAACACACAAATCAAAATCATAAGCCTCAAATGAAACTGAAACTCCGGGACAGAAGAAAAGCCAAAGGAAATGGTAGTAAAAATGGGGAAAAAAGTGCGTGGAAAATTCTTGAGATTTTTAGGGTAATTTGTTTGGGTGGTTGATTTGGGCTTATTAAAGCAACACGTGCGGAGAAATACCGCGAAATCTTATTAAACAAAATAAAACGACTTAGATGACTTTCAGCCCTGGAAATAAAAAAACACAGAAAAAACAGAAAACCCAATGGGAGATTTGCATTTGTACAACTGATTGCACTTACAAATCGTAAAAAACGAGCTTCGGGGCAGCGACAGCAAACATCCATTAGGCCCACTGTGCACAGTGGGTAGCAGACGGCGGGGGTGGTGGAATCGGCTGGCTAATGCACAAAGGGAAATTATAATAAGCGCAGCTTTTCTCCGTACGGAAAAGCGGGCAAGAAACATCCATAAATAAAAGAGGCCGCCAAGTAGGCAATGCAAATTTTGTTTGCAGGTTGTGTTCGTTTTCCCCAGACTTTTTCCATATTTTGCCGGCTTTTATCGCACTAATAAAAAGGATTTTCCTCGAGTCGTACTGAAAAGTCGTCTCGCATTTCTTTGTATCATTTTACTGCAGGCAACGCGGGGTTTCTGTTCTGAAGGTTGAGGTTCCAATTCCTCCAACTTCTGGGGTCTGTCCGCCTTATTTATTTACTAGCCCTGTCATATTGCAACAACTGACTTTTTTACTTTGCCTGTTGTCTGGCTTATTTTGTTTGTTTTTCCTTTTTTCCTTCGCTTTTCCTCGGCTTTTCCCCTGGTTTTCCATGTTGTGCATTGTGCGACTATGCTACCTTATAAATGGATTATGGCAATTAGATGGTATTCTGGGGTATTGTGGGGTTGGTGATTGGGTCGACTGGAATATGGAATCCATTAGAGGGGCTTAGGATTCGATTTGCTTAAAGATGAAATGATGATATGTGGTAATGGCTTGTGGTAAAGTGTATAAAATGGAATAGTAAATGGGATTGATCTATATAAAAAAAGGGTGAAGACATAAGAGCGATTTATTTTTTATGTTTAGTTAATAATAATAATAATACCAATATAAGAAATATTAATTTAATATTCCCCCAGCATCTTTTAAAACTTAAATACCATCAATCCAATGGTTTTCTCATAGATAAATAGTAATAAAATAAGGGCCTCAGCATCTTATAAAGCAAAACTTCCAATAATGCAATGATTTTCTTATAAATCAATAATAAAACAAGGAAGAACGCTATAGTCGAGTACCTCGACTATCAGATACCCGTTACTCAGCTAAATAGGGATATGCAAGTAGCAAAGCGAGATTAAAATGCGCCACCTACCGGCGGTATACAGATTTAAGCGTTATGGGCGTTAGAGTGGGCGTGGCAAATTTTTTTGGACCAATCGATAGGTATTGACAAGACCAATACATTTCAGTTAAATTTGTTTATCTAGCATGAAAATTGTGGGCGACACAGGTTTTCGCGGTTTGTGGGCGTTAAAGTGGGCGTGGCAAACTTTTTTTTGGGTCAATCGATAGGTATTGATGAGAACAATACATTTCAGTTAAAATTTTCTATCTAGCATCAAAACTGTATGAGCCACAGTTTTGGGCGGTTTGTGGGCGTTAGAGTGGGCGTGGCACTCTACTGAAATAAACTTGCGCTGCGCAGGAATCTCAGGAATCTGCGTGCCTAATCCCAGTATTGTAACTCTCATAGTTTCCGAGATCTCAGCGTTCATACGGACAGACGGACAGACGGACAGACGGACAGACGGACATGGCTAGATCGACTCGGCTAGTGATCCTGATCAAGAATATATATACTTTATGGGGTCGGAAACGCTTCCTTCTGCCTGTTACATACTTTCCGACGAATCTAGTATACCCTTTTACTCTACGAGTAACGGGTATAAAAATAGTTCCCTTTGCATTTTATAAATTAGATCTACCATTAACACAATGATTTTTTCATAAATAAATAATAATAAAATAGTTCCCTAATCATCTTATAAAAAAGAACTTCCATCAATAAAATAATTTTCTCATAAATAAATAAAAGTCAAATAATCCCCTTAGCACCTCATAAAATAAAACTACCATCAATCCAATGATTTTCTCAATCATTTGAACTCATTACAACTCCCTACAAGTTCTGAAACTACTGATTTTGCCAGTCATGCACCACCAACCGAATGAAAAACCAATTAAATGGGAAACAATCATCATTAGGCAGTGCCACAAAATGATAATTCAAATGTTTTCAGCTGAGTGGCCAAAGCGAATCGAAGCCAGAGAACCTAACAACTATTACTAAGTATGTACACCGTGAAATTGAACAAATAATATGCCAAGAAAGTAGGCGCCGAATAAAAAAAAAACCATGGAAAGAGAAAGATTGTATAGGAAAAAGTTGAAAACCAAACTATTATTAATGATCTGATATATCAATCGGCTGGCAGATCAAAGAGGTTGCTTGGAACGGTATGCTAGTTATATTACAGATTACAATTTGAACAGGGAAAATATTTTGGATTCGAACCGTTCAAATTCTTCAGAGCGCACAAAATGCCAAACCGACAAACTAAAATTGGTAAGCAAGTTTGGGGGAATGGGTTTGGGGGTTTTGTAGAGGTTGTGGATTTGCTGTGGATGTTCGAGAGCCCAGCCATCAAAGACATTTAAGTATTTTGCGGTTTTTTGTGCCCGGGATGCCTTTTGTCCTGTGGCAGGACATGTGCAGCAAAGTGTCACATATGTGGCCCGGGTTTTTTACATGATATCCTC